GATTTCTATTTCAGGAGAGATGCGAATTCTAGCGAGTACAACTCTGAATCTACAGCCACTTATACAAATAAGTTGAGTAGTGTGTCTTCCTCAGAAAACTGGAATTTAGAGACTTTAAATTTTCAAAATTTCGCTGAAAGGTTTCAAAACAAAAAAAGGAAAACGAATTTCCCGCTGTTTAATACTCCGACAATGACAATAAAAGACAGTTGAGTTTGTAAAACAAGAGTGAATGATAACCGACAGTTTTCACCACAAACAAAACGTTATTTTGTATACATGTCTCTCTTTAATGCCCACGTACTTAAAAATATGAGCTGCACTTCCTGATAAAATTATTGCAATATATCAGCCCCACACCTGTTCTCATATTTCATAAATATATGTATATAAACCTTAGAAATTAATTACCCTTCGATTGAATTTGATTTATGTTCTTCAAGTCATACGGAACTGTAATTTTGCAATATAATCTCTGTTAATGTTACTCTTTTTATTTATTACTTTTCCATGTTTGTTTAACTTCTCGCGACTTTACTTTTTCGCTTATTTGCGAAATTCTCACCGTTTTATATGAATTCAAATTGATTATGTGAGAATGATTTAGTTTTCAATTATTTCTGAATTTTCTGTTTTAATTTGACAGTAATTCCGATTCATGATTATGGGTGTAATTTATTGCAACAATTTTAGAGAGGAATTAATTTTTTAATAAATAATTAAACTCTAATGTTTCTAAATCTGATTCCATTCAATGATTTTCGATATCTACTATATTAATAACATTTTACAAGAGAATTCAATTATTTTCAGATTTTTAGTAGAATTTTAATAAAACTCGAAACAATTGAATTCTTTATAAAACTTTTAATATAATTTTTCACAGGAATTAAATTATTTTCAAAGATTCTAATGAAATTCTTCTTAAAAATTCAATTATTTTCAAAAGTTATAAAATTTTTGTCAGAAATACAATTACGTTAAAAAATTTAAAACAGTTCGCGTCAGAATTTTAATTATCTTTATAAATAATAAAATTCTTCTCCGAAATTCAATATTATTTTCAAAAATTTTTATTAAACTCTTAGCAAAAATTCAATTATTTTCAAAAATTTTCCTCAATTCAATGATTTTTATTATCTACTATTAATAAAATTTTCCAAAACAATTCAATTATTAAAAAAAAATTTTTTAATAAAATATGTCGCAAGAATTCAATTATTTTTAGAAATAATAAAATTCTTTTTAGGAATTAAATTATTTTCATAAATAATAAAAATTTTTTACAGAGATTTCATTATTTTCATGAATAATGAAATTCACTATAGAATTTCAATTATTCTTAATACAATATTTTAATCGAATTCCTCGAAAATTTTATTAAAATTTGTCAAAAAAAATTCAATTATGTTGATAAAATTCTTTATGAGAATTCAAATTTCAAGAAACATTCAATTATTTAATGAATTATTTATTTTTGTAGTAAAATAATTGAATTCTTATAGAATTTTTTAATAAAAATTGATTTAAAAATGAATTTTAGTTAAAATTTTTGATAATAATTTAATAGGTATCAAAAGCATTATAGCATGAATTTTTAGAAATAATTGAATTTTGAAAAGTTTCAAATTAAAATCTTTGAAAATTTGAATTTTTCATACTTTTAAAGAATTAATTTTTTTGAAAAAGTTTAGTTGAATTTTTTTTGAAAAATTATTTCAAGTTTTTGTTTTCTAATATTTATTTAATTGCGAAGAATTTCCGAATAATCTAAAATTCGTAAAATTGATTTGTAAACAAATGGATTCTTTAGAGTCATGGTAAAAAAGGTAATTTTTTAAATATTTCATTAAAATTTGAATTCTATTCAAAATAAATTTTTTTATAAATCTAAAAAGTAATTTTTATATTGCCTTTTTAGATTCAAAAAAATGAAAATATTTGAATAGAAAAAATTTTTATTCATTTAAACGGTCGAAATCGTACAAAGAAAAATAATACAATAAAACAAGAAGAAAATACTTTTTGTAAACAAAAAAATCATTTTTGTTCCTGACTCTATTGTACTGTCAACATTTTGCCTGTATTCTGCGATAGTTCTCCCTCTACTCTTATGGAGTTCTCATTTCTTGTTTTGCGTAATTTCTGTTGACTAATGTAAACGTATGATTTCCAGAGCTTAATGTTTGCTCTGCTACTTGATGGTACTTGGTGGATGTCGTTAAATCACTGGCAAAGTACACTGAACATTCATAGAATATACTGGTTTTGTCGACTACACAAAAAAAGGAAAAGAGAAAAAAAAATTTCTCCAGCAAACATTTTACGCTTGCTTGTAATTTAAACCTGGGAATATCTTTCATTTCACTTTCCGCGAATTATAACTTTTTTCCTTGTTCTTCTTCTTAAAATGTAATTCAGAAATGGTTTGTCAAACTCTAAGTACCTTATTCTTGAATAATTCTTTTATTTTTTTTATTTTTGTTTTGTTTAATTACTGTAAAAAGTGAATTAAAAAAAGTAAGAAGCAAAGAAAAGGGAAATTGATTAATAATTATTAGTTTCTGATTTTAAATTGAAGACCTCGCGCGTGTTTCGTCAAGTTGCTAATTTCGTGACACGTTATTTTTGTTTTATGATCTTCGAGAAAATTATTTGAACGATTACGTAAAGTGTGTATACTCATTTATGTTAATACGAAATTTTTTTTTTTCGTGGTTTTATGATCTTGCGGTTGAGGATTGATTAGGATTTTTTTTTTCGTTTTACGTGAGGAAAGGAAAGTTGCGAAGAATAAACTTTACCTGCAAAAAAGTATTCAACGTAATACATATTGTTAGAAAATATTTTTATAACTATTTATTTAGAATTTACACTACTTTAAATTTGAAAATAATTGAAATAAAAATAAATAAAAAAAATTCCATTTACATTCAATTATTTTTGAAAATAATAAAATTTGTACAGAAGCTCAATTATTAAGAAAACAATTTTCATTGAATTGTTTAAAAATAAAATTTTTCATTGAATTTTCTCAAAAAAAAAAGTTTCCATTGATTTTTCCCCCCCAAAAAAAATCAATTATTTAAGAAAAAAATTTATAAAACTCTTCTTGGGAATTTAAATATTTTTGAAATTTTTAATAAAATTCTAGAAAAGAATTGAACTATTTTCAATAAAATTTAAATTAATTCGTGGAAAAAAATTTATAAATATTCAATTATTTAAATACATAATAAAATTCTTCGCTGAAATTCAATTATTTTCATAAATTTTAATAAAATTCTTTATAAGAATTCAATTTTAAAAATTTAGTTCATAATTAAATTTTAATAGAATTTATGAATTTTTATAGAAATAAAAAATTAAATTTTAAAAGATTTTTAAATTGTAATCTTTGAAAATGTTTATTGTTGTAAAACTGTAATAATATTCAATTTTTTATTTAAAAACAATTGATTAATTTACTTTTTTTTAAAGAAATGATTAAAGTTTTGAACAAAAATGATTCAAGTTTTAAATGTCATTTAATTTGGTAATTATGAAAAAAATTCGTCTTTTGAAAAATTGTAATTAAAATGTTTGGAAGATACTTGAATTTCCTTAAATTATTCTTATATTTTTAATCATTTGGAAATTTTGTTAAATTCAATTGAAATAAATTGTACATTTAAAAATTATTTTTGAAGAATTTAAAATTAAAATTTCGAAAATTATTATTGAATTTTTAAAAAAATTTAGAATTCAAGTTATTATCAGTATAAGAAAAAACATAAATATTTTTGAAGAAAATTTAAAAAATGCAGAATTAAATTTTTTAATTAAAACAACTTTTAGGAGAAATAAATATTTTTATTCAAAGTAAAATTGTTTTGTTTCGTATTCAGATTTAGAGAAATTCGCGCTTCTCGGAGAGACAATAAATAATAAAATAAAAGTGAGGCGTTGAAGTGTAAGCAAAATGATTAGAAGAAGTAGACGAAGAATAAGAGGGTTTGTTGTGGCAGCTGAAAGCTGAATGAGAAGACCAATTACTGTATTACGCGATTTCTTCGTGATGTGTTCCTCTCAACGATTTGCTTTTGGGACATGAACACTAATTTCAAATTCATCCCTCGACCCGTTATTTCAGGCGCCAATGCTGGCAAATAAGTCTGATAATGTGCAGTCGAGGGATTTAGGCGTCTACATTCCACATTATAAATATTCACCGTATGGCGCCCATACATATCTTCAAGAGATAAATCTTGCTTTGCAAAAAGGAAACAAAAATATTAACAACAACAATAATGAGAGTGTAAAATTTGTATTTTTAATATATATATGAAAACAGGAGAAAAAAGGGAATTTTTTTTTGTTCTTCATCTCCGCCATGGCAAAGTATTTTATCGTCTCTGAAAATTCACCCTCTCCTCCGAAATCAATTCAAAGCGGTTTTCGGGTTGTCACATTTTTGGCAAGGTTTGCCCCTTATGTGATAATATTAATTCAATCGAAATTCTTGGCATCGAGTCACTTTGTTAATTAATTTTCATCATTTTATATAAATACTTCTCTTTGCATTAGTTTGTGAATGTTTGACAAATTAAGATATTTTCCGGGATGGAATTCTGGTTAATTATTTCATTCCGAAGAAAGTGGTTTTCAATTTTTCAATTATTAATTACGAATTTTCAATTTTTGAATTATTAATTGTCAATTATTAATTATCTATTATTAATTACCAATTTTCAATTATTAATTACGAATTATTAATTATTAATTAAGAATTATTAATTGTAAATTATTATTTAAGAATTATTAATTGTCTATTATTAATTACGAATATTCAATTATTAATTACGAATAGTCAATTATTAATTACTAATTAAGAATTATTAATTGTCAATTATTAACCATTAATTATCAATTATCAATAACTGTTAAATATTAATTAGAATACTACCTAATTAAATATTTTTTTTAACAAGTGAAAATTGACATTATTATTTTTTTTGCAGACGTATTCGGGTCTTTTCTGCGTCGTCGTCAATCCATACAAGAGGCTGCCAATTTACACAGAAAAAATTATGGAGAGGTATAAGGGAATCAAAAGGCACGAAGTTCCACCACATGTTTTTGCCATCACAGACACAGCATATCGTTCGATGCTTCAAGGTAATAATAATAATAATAATATTCATAATAATTGATAACATTATGTAATTTTATTACATTTTTTTATCATTGACGCTAGTGTGATATGTGACTGCCCCAACAAAGAATTAATTCTTCTCTTTAATACGAATATTACTAATAGAAAAAAAAATCACTAGTCAATTTAATTTATTTGTATTTTTTTTGCACAGACGAATTTTTATTTAACCAAAGTTTTTAAAGTAGAATTTTTTAAAAAAAATTTTTTTTAAAGAAATTTTTATTTAAATTTTATTTAAATTAAATTTATTTTTAAATATTTTTTATTTTAATTTTTATTTAACAGAATTTTTATTTAATTTTCCATGTATAAAAATATTTAATAAGGGAAATTTTTGTTTACGAATTGAATTTTAAAATTGAATTTTTTTCAGGGTTGCCACAGATCAGGGAAAATTAGGAAATTTTATCAAAAATTACGATCCACCTGTTTTGATCTTTTTAATGAACGAAATATATCCTATTAAAAATATTTTCATAAATTACTGATTGCAGTAAAAATTATGATAACTAAATAATTAAATAAAAAAAGAAAAGAAAATAAAAAGTTAAATTTAACATTTAGAAACTTTAGAATTTTTAATAATTTTAAATATTTTACCAAAGGATGGAGACTATTAAATAAGTAAAGTGTTTTTGAAGAGCCCAAAAATAATGAAGCTAAATCACATAAAAGAGAGGGAAAAATGTTGAATTTTAAGAAATTCGAATTTTTGATAATTTTTGATAATTTAAGATTTTTTACCAAAGGGTGGAGACTATTAAATAAGTAAAGTTTTTTTAAAGAGCACAAAAATAATGAAGCTAAATGCCATAAAAAAGAAGGAAAAATGTTGAATTTTAAGAAATTCGAATTTTTGAATTTTTGATAATTTTCGATAATTTTAGATTTTTTACCAAAGGGTGGAGACTATTAAATAATTAAAGTGTTTTTAAGGAGCACAAAAATAATGAAGCTAAATGCCATAAAAAAGAAGGAAAAATGTTGAATTTTAAGAAATTAGAATTTTTGAATTTTTGATAATTTTTGGTAATTTTTGATAATTTTAGATTTTTTACCAAAGGGTGGAGACTATTAAATAAGTAATGTGTTTTTGAAGAGCACAAAAATAGTGAAGCTAAATCACATAAAATAGAGGGAAAAATGTTGAATTTTAAGAAATTCGAATTTTTGAATTTTTGATAATTTTTGATAATTTTAGATTTTTTACCAAAGGGTGGAGACTATTAAATAAGTAAAGTGTTTTTCAGGAGCACAAAAATAGTGAAGCTAATTCACAAAGAAAAGAGGGAAAAATGTTGAATTTTAAGAAATTCGAATTTTTGATAATTTTTGATAATTTTAGATTTTTTACCAAAGGGTGGAGACTATTATATAAGTAAAGTATTTTCGAAGAGCACAAAAATAGTGAAGCTAAATACCATTTTTGACCAAAGGGTGGAGACTATTAACAGGGCGTCTAACAGTCAGGGAAGGTCAGAAAATTTCATTGAAAGTCAGAAAAATTCCTAAAATTTATATAAAAATTAAAATTTGTGTGAATAAAAAATTGTTTTACTCTAATAAAACTTAGAAGATTTTTATTATCGTTTATTTTTATCATTAGATATTAATTTATTGTTAAATATGTTAGTTACCATTTTTTTGTCCCAAGAAAGCAGAAATGAAATTAGTAAAAAGTCAGGGAATTATTTTTTTTCTCAATCCTTGTTAGACACCCCGATAATTGTCTGTTCTGCATTGAAAAAATTGAAAAAAATTTCATGAATTCAGGGAAAAGGGGAATAAAATTTTTGTGGCAACCGTTTTTTTAAAGAAAATTTTTATCGTAATAACATTGCGTAAAAATGGAATTTTGAGTTAATATTGATTCTAAATTGTCAAATTAAGTTAAAATGGAAAATGTAATGAAAATTTCGTAGAGAATAAATATTTCAGGAGTTAATAATATTTTAGAAAAGAGTTAAATCTATAAAAAAGTAAAGGTAAATTTATTTATTAATAAAATACTATTTATTTTGAATTTTCCACGAAACATTTTCTTATATAGTTTCAATTTATTTTCAGTTACTATTTTTTATGATTAAAATTTAATTTATTTTTTGTATTTTTTATTTTACATACAAAATGAAACAATTAAAAAATGTATTGTAAATTTGTAATATAGATTACTAATAGAATTTCCTTTTTTTAGATCGCGAAGACCAATCAATTCTCTGTACTGGTGAATCCGGTGCTGGAAAAACGGAAAACACGAAGAAAGTTATTCAATATTTGGCGTATGTCGCTGCATCGAAACCAAAATCAAACGCGGTAAGTTATGACCTTTAGGAAAAAAAAGAGGATAAAATAATTAATATAAATTTTTATTTAAACTCTTTTTTTTCGTTGACAGTGAATTCGTTGTCTTGTTTATTTTACAAGTTGATACATTTTGATAAAAGCACGTGTGTCGTGTCTCGCGCCTTTATTTTCCAGTGAGTTCTTTGAAATGCACATCATGAATAATAAATTCTTGTGTCGAGATAACCATTAGAAGCTGCGTTTACTAGAAGCTTATGCGATCACTACAGGAGGCGGATGAATTATAATACGCGCGAGATTTTAGAATTTTTACGTAAGCAGAAGGCCGATCTTGTTAATTTCTTGATTTTTAGAAATTGTCCGTATCTCACGACTCTCGGGGAATTTACATTCTCTCTTTCAATTTTTATTTGTTTCCAGATTTTGAAATCTAATTTTATAACACAAGATAATTTATTTTTTGTGTTTTTTATTTCAACTCTTCATTTCATATTAAGAAAAATTCACTATTATTCATTCAAAGGTAAATTGAAAATGTGTCGTGAGACAAATTTTCAATTCGCCTTTGAATGAATAATAGTGAATTTTTCTCGGTTTTAGTTTATTCGAATTTCTCTATATTTGTAATTTTTTATTCTTTTTTTATTTTGTTAATATTTTTAAGTTTTTAATATTGCTGTTAATTTTCAATTTTAATTTTTTGTCGGCAGGAAAAATATCAACTGCATATGAACTTAAATTTTAAAAGAAGCAAATAAAATTTTTAATTTCTATTCAACTTTTTTTTTGCACCATTAATAAAGGATGGAATTAAAAAGAAAATTGTGAGAATCCATCTGGAAATTAATTATTAAGTAAATTTATTCCAAAAGTGATTAATTAATCGACATCATAAATATTCTTCGGGGCGTTAAATTGTGAGAATTTTTGCCGCATATTATACGTTTAATTATTGTCGGTAGCTTAATGATTCGCAATTCTAATTGGTTTTCTTAATCAGAGATTTTTTTCTTTCTTGATTGTTAGAAAATTGTCAATTTTTTTTTTAATCGACACGATTCCCTTATCGTGCGTCTCAGCTGTAGCATTGAATTACCTCTTGCCTATGTGAAATTCGATAGTCTGTTTAACTAACTACAATTCAAGTCTAGAAATACCAGGCGTCATATTGTTATAAATGCACTCGTTAACGAATATATCGCCAATAGAAAATGATTGACGATATAACATTTTATAAAGCTTGAGATTGTCTCGTTTGATTCGACAAATCGACAATTCGACGCTAAATGAGAATAGAAACTCGAGTCTCTCTCTCGAAACCAATCTGATATCTTTATAGAATGATCCAAAGTTTGCTTAATTAACTCTCTTATTGAAATTTATAATCAATTATAATGTGAAGTGTTATTATTTCGCAGAAATTCGCGTGGATGGAAAACAAGAGATTTTTAATTTCAATATCTATTAAACTCGGGGAGAGAGAGATTATTTTATTTTTCTATTCGCAATTCTTTTTCGAAAAGGAATTTTTTTCTATTCGCAATTCTTTTTCGAGAAAGAATTTTTCTATTAGCAATTCTTTTTCAAAAAAAGAATTTTTCTAAAAATTAATTTTATTTAATGTTTGTAATTTTAATTTTAATTACATTTTCTCTTTCTGGAAAGTTTGTACATTTTGTAAATATTATCAATTTGAAAATAGTTTAATAATTAATAATGCGGGTCCAGAGATGGTTGATTCGTCATTTCATCAGATTCGAAGGACACGCGAGATTCACAAACCTTAACATAGTTTCGTTTACCATAAAGAAAATACTACTGAGCGTCGTTTATATGTCGATTAAACCAAATCGATTTATATATATTGTGACTAGTTTACGGAATTGCAAAATCGGCCTCGAAGGTCCTGTCCTCCAAATACATTTTATCTGTTTTAAACTCAACTTTATACTTATTTTTTCTTTTTTTTTCTTCTTCAAACGCCGAATATCAAGCAATTACTTCAATTAAATAACAGTTTTTTCGATTTTCTTCTGTTTTTTATTATTATTATTAAATTTATTATTATTATTGGAAAATAAGTTAACGGGTGCAATTATATTTTTTTTTCTTTAAAAAATAATTTTTACAACTTGCAAAGTAAACTAAAAGGTAGAATTGTCACAATCTGTCGAATAGAAAAATTATTTAATTTCACTAATAGAATTTTAATTCAAGAATTTTATTTCCATTTTCGAGAGAGATTGAAAATTAATAGTTGAGAAAATTAAAAATTTCTTAACTCACATGATATTAAATAGATCAAGTCTATAAAATAATTAACTCGGGTCGCTCCTAAGATTCTTAATTATTTCAATTATTTTCGAACCATAATAATATTTTTACGTGATTTATCTCTGTTTTTTTGTACTCTACGAAAGACCCTCGTAAAGATAATTCTCAATCTTGAAATTCCGAGAATCACAATCATTTAGATGCATAATTGGAACTTTCAATCAGTATTCGTATTTATTTATATGTCAATTTTTTCGAAAATGAAAAAAATACTAAAGTAAAGGCAAAAATATTTATTTACAGCGTTTATTTAAATTTTTACTAATTTAATTTTCTAAATGGTATTTAAAATTTACTCTACTGTGAAATTAATAGTTTCAATTAAATGATCGTTAAATCGTAACTATTTTGTAGTAAAAAAATACATTAGTGCAGCACTAACTAGTTATTACCACATTTGTTGCAAATCATTTACAACGAGATTTACAATAATAGGTATTTTTAAAACGGGAATTTTATATTCGGAAACAATTTAGTTTTCTCGATATGTACTTTCTTTCAAATTTCATTCGATTTAAATTATTTTCGACAGTAATTATTTTATTAATTATTAAAAAGTAATTAATTAATTTACTTATTTATTGACATATATTTAAACACAACTTGCCTTTTTTATTACTGTTTAAAATTTAATTATATTATAATAAATTCTTCTGGTTAATTAATTTTAATTTAATTATTTAATATTTAAATAAAAAATTGTCAATTAATTGCCAAATTGTTAAAGAATGCAGAGAATTTATTTTTGTTATTTGGATAGTTGTGAAAATATTTACAACGAGATATAAAATTGAATTCGATGACGACCAATTTTGACAGACTGATTAAATAAAGCAAAAATTAATGAAAAAACGTCGATACATAGTCTGTCGCGTTTTCATTCCATATTTTACGACTTTGAAACATGCACATTCTTGCTTTTATTGCTGAGCTAACTCAGCCGTTCTCTTTTACAAAATTCTAACGTTACTTCCAAAGTAGCAAGAAAACACACAACTAAAGAAAAGAAAACAAAAAAAAAAAATGAAGAAGAGACGAAAAAAAGTTTTTTAGGGAAGCCAAAAAAAGATTTGCAAAGAAAAAAAGAAAGAAACATTCCAAAGAAGGAAAAACAGTCAAAATTGTAGGTATTTTAGAAAAAAAAATGAGTCAAAGAGGAAATTTTACAAATTTTTGCTTATGGACTAAAAAAATCAAATGGAAAAAGTAACAATTCAAATTACATTCAATTTACGGAAAAATCGAATAAAATTCGATTCTTAGAAAAATTACATTAATAGAACCTGAAAAATATTTGGGAATTGTTGTATTTTTTTAAAAGTGAGAAACTGTTTTCGATTCTTTTTAATTTTCCTCTAAATTTACATTCTTTTATCGCGCAGGTTAGCTCACTGTATTTTTTTTCTTTCTTTTTTTTGGTTGAGAGACGTTTAAAGAAAAGCAAACATTCCAAGCTAGCAATTCATCGTTTACATATTTGCTTTTGAATAAACATTGTACGACTAATTAATTATTCCGCTTATTGCACGACTCCGGAACGAGATATATAAAAGGTCGGGAGAAAAAAATTAAACAAAATGTACAAATACAAACTGATAAGATTCACTCTCGTGAAGACAATTATTATTATTGTTACTATACGTATGTGCTTTTCATTGTTTCTTACCAATTAGTATACAGTCAACAATATTTATAATTGACGCAAAATTGACGATTAAGAAAAAAATATGATTATAGAGCTTAAAGTTTGGTTCATATTTTTTACAATGTTTTTTAATTTTTTTTTTATATTAAAGAAAAAAGGAAGTAAAAAAAAAGTTTTTCTAGAAAAATAATAGAATAAAAATAATTTATTTTATTTCTATTATTTATTTAAAAAATAATTTTTTACAATTTGCTAAGTAAACTAAAAGGTTTGATACAATTTAATATTTTTTTCTAGGCAATGAAAATTTTTGGAATCTTTTTTCGAATTTTAAAACATTTTTTTATTTTCATTAAAATTATTAAATCTTTTTATTAGAAGATAAGAGAAAATTAGAGATTAAAAAATAAACGTCTAGGTAAAGATTATTATTTTATTCTAATGTAAAACATTCTTTTATTTTCGGTGCTGATTTCTCGATGGCTGCATACTCCAGACTCCAAGTCCGGCGTTAATCATAGTAAGTCAACATTAATTTTCCAGAAATATTATCAATTTGCCAAAAACTGTTGATGACTTGTTTTTTGTTTCTATTTTTGCTAAATTTCTACTAATGCCTACTAACAAAAATGGTTTTGGATTTTATCAGGTGTGTTGTAAATTGTGAAAGAATGTACTTTTCATTTTTGATAATGAAAAATTTTTCGTGTTTTCTAATCGCTTTTTGGTACAAAATTTTGGTATAAATGATCCGTTATAATTAATTAATTAATTAATTACTAACATTCATTTTTTTTTTAATATAAATTTTTTTTTGCCATTTCTGCTGCCTTTGGATCCAGGGCACTGGAACATTAGCTGACAAGTTTGCGGTAATTAGAGGGACGAATTATTACGGATATTGGTGTGGTTCTCTTTACACTTAAACACTCTCATATTAAGGCTTCTTTGTTTAATTATTTTATGCTCGGGTTGCAGCTTTAACCCAGTTTATTTAAATTTCATTACTATTTTTTGCATTTTGAGAGTTTTTTGTGAGAAATATTTGTTTACGTGATTTGTTAATATTAGCACTGTGTACTTAATTTACTGATTTCAAAATTTACTGTATTTAATAATTTTTTACTTAATTTATCACTTTTTTTATATATTTTTTATTTTATTATTTTATTTATTTATTTTGTTTTTTACATTAACGTATATTTATATTAATAATAATTAATACAATAACTTTTTCTTTATTATTTATTTCTAACTAAACAAATAATAAAAATAGAACCATAATAATTATTCCTTCTGTTATTCATACTTTTAACACATTTCATTAGTATTTTATTTTAATTTTCTTGATATTGAAAAAATTAATCTTCTATAAAATTTAAAAACATCTTTTGTAAATTCTAATTTTTAACTAATGAAAAACTTATTTATTATTTTGATTTATTAGTGGGAAAAAAATCTTTGCTATCACTTCAGTAGGACTATAAATTAATATTTATTAATTGTCTAATAATAATAGTCGATAATTGTTATTAATATTTAATTATGTCAATTGATTTTGATAATAGAATTTTGTATTTGAAATTCTTGATAGAAAATTTTTAATGGTTATTATTAAATTTTTTTTTTTTTTTATTTAAAATTAAATTATTTTCATTAAAAATGGATAGAATTTACAAAAGTTTTTTCTTAATTATTGTAGAAGATTTAGTTTCTTTAATATCAGGAAAATTAGAATAAAATACTAGTAACATTTGTAAACAAATATTTTTTGAATATGTAAATAAATTAAAGATATTCGCAATAGATAATAAAACATCTGTTATTACTTGATGTAGTTGACATTATGAATAATGTATACAGTTCAGTTATTATGTGAAGTAGTCACCTGTTTTTCATAAATTCATAGTAAATTTTATAACCTTTTTATTCTCCTTGTAAAATAGTTATGTAGTCGATGATTTTCAAAAACTATTTCTAGTCAGAAAATTTTTTTCTATTTATTCATTATTATTTTTGTAAATGTAGAAAATTAGAAAATAGATTTATTTTTGCTATAACCGTGTGCAATTAGAAAATAGTTATTAATATCGTTAATATTATTAACATAATTATAATTATTATTTTTATTAGGTATTAATATTATTAATTATTATTATTATTATTATTATTATTATTATTAATATTAATATTGTTATTGTTATTCTATTATTTTATTTATAAATAAATACTTACGGAGCTTTATAATAATTGTTTTCTTTCTTTTCGCAGGGTGAACTTGAACAACAACTTTTACAAGCCAATCCTATTCTGGAAGCATTCGGAAATGCAAAAACCGTCAAGAACGACAACTCTTCACGTTTTGTAAGAAATTTAATACTTTGAAATTCAAACATTAAATTTGTTTTTAAGTAAATTCTTCAAACCTTCGCAGCATTTCTTCAAAATGCACGAATTTTTGCACAAACTTTACAGTAATAATTAAATTTTAATGAATTTTTGTAGTTGAAAAAAATTTAATTCAAAAAAATTATTTTATAAACTATTTTGCAAATTAACAAGAATTAAAATATTGGAAATTGGTACAAAAAATAATATCTTGAAGTTTAATTTTTAAGAATTAAATTTATACACAACGATAAAAAAAATGATGCCAAAAGGTTAACTGAGTCTTTATTAATATAAAGTGGATGAATATTTAAATTTTCTTTATTTGTAGTTATTTTAGAAATTCTTTTCGCTTAATATTTATGAGTAAAATTTTTTAATTTCTTGTTAGATATTTCAATGTAAAAACTAAAATATTTACAAATGAGATGTTTGCTGAACTATTTTTATTACAAATTTTTTTCTAATTCTTGATTTTTTACAATTTTTTCAATTCTTCTTTATATATACTTTGAATAAATTAATAAGAATAATAAAATTATTTTGCTTTCAGGGAAAGTTTATTAGAATTAATTTTGACGCTTCTGGTTACATCGCTGGCGCAAATATCGAGACGTATCTTCTTGAAAAATCTAGGGCAATTCGACAAGCCAAAGATGAACGAGCGTTTCACATATTTTACCAATTGCTTTCGGGTGCATCACCAGAACAAAAGAGTAAGTTACTTGTTAAGTATATTTTAATCTAGTGGAAAAGATAAAAAAAAATGAATCTAGTTAAACGGTTTAAACAAAAATAATATTGAATTCAATTTTAACTTTTCGATTAATTAAAATAAAATTGCACCAATTTTTTTTTATAATTTTTGTTTAATAATTTTGAATTTTATAATTAATGAAATTCTAATTTAATGTTTTTGAAGATTAGAGAATAACAAAAATAAATTAAATAAAATTACTTTGCATAAAGCTTTGTTAAAATTTTTGAAAATAATTGAATTATTATAAAGAATTTTATTGAAATTCTTGAAAATAATTGAATTCATTTAAGGAATTTCATTAAAATTTTTAAAAAATTGAATTCTTTAAAGAAATTTAATTAAAATTATATTAAAAATAACAGAATTTTTATTAAGAATTTTATTCAAGTTTTGGAAAATAATTGAATTCTTTCAAGAAACTTTATTAAAATTTAAAAATCATTGAATTCTATAAAGAAATTTTATTAAAATTGTATTGGAAATAATTCAATTCCCCTGAAAAATGTTATTATTTAAAAAAATAATTGAATTCTTTGAAGAATATTATGAAAATTTTTGAAAATAATTAAATTATTTCAAAGAAATTTTAAATTCTTTTGAGAAATTTAGTTAAAATTGTATTAAAAATAATTGAATTCTTTCCAAGAATTTTGTCTAAATTGTATTAAAAATAATAATTAAATTCCTATTTACAAAGAATTTTATTTTTTAACAAAATAAATGAATTCTTGCGAATAATTTCATTAAAATTTTTTTGTAAATAATTGAATTTTTTTTAAGAATTTCTTGAGAATTTTTAATAGTAATTGAAGTTTTCTTGGAAATATTATTAAAATTATAATGAAAATAATTAAATTCCGGAGGGGAATTTTATTTTTTATGAAAATAATTGAATTGTTTTCAAGAATTTCATCATTTTTAAAAAAAATAATAATTAATTATTTAATAAGTGAATTTGTTAAAATTTAAAACTTGATATTTAAAATTCCAAATAAATCTAATGATATACTTATTTTTGCAGAGGAATTTATCTTGGAGGATCCGAAACATTATCCATTCTTATCGAATGGAGCGCTTCCAGTACCCGGCATGGACGATTCCGCCGAATTTTCTGCAATTGTGAAAGCAATGAACATAATGGGAATGACGAACGAAGATTTTGCCTCAATATTCCGCATTGTCTCTGCAGTCATGTTATTTGGTTCGATGCAATTTAGACAGGAGAGAAATTCCGATCAAGCCACACTTCCCGATAATACAGTTGCCCAAAAGATTTCCCATTTATTGGGTCTGAGTGTGACAGAAATGACGAAAGCCTTCCTAAAGCCAAGAATTAAAGTCGGCCGCGATTTTGTGACGAAAGCACAAACAAAAGAACAAGTGGAATTTGCAGTCGAGGCAATATCAAAAGCGTGCTACGAAAGAATGTTCCGTTGGTTGGTCAATAGGATAAATAGATCACTCGATAGAACAAAAAGACAGGGAGCAAGTTTCATTGGTATTCTAGATATGGCTGGATTTGAAATCTTCGAATTGAATTCATTTGAACAGTTGTGCATCAATTATACAAATGAGAAACTTCAGCAATTATTCAATCACACAATGTTTATTCTCGAGCAGGAAGAATATCAACGTGAGGGAATTGAATGGAAATTCATTGATTTTGGATTGGATCTTCAGCCGACGATTGATTTGATTGATAAGCCAATGGGTATAATGGCACTTGTCGATGAGGAATGTTGGTTCCCGAAAGCGACGGACAAAACGTTTGTGGAGAAACTTGTTGGTGCTCATAGTGTTCATCCAAAATTCATGAAGACAGATTTTCGTGGTGTCGCCGATTTTGCCATTATTCACTACGCTGGAAAAGTCGATTACTCGGCTGCCAAGTGGCTCATGAAAAATATGGATCCACTTAATGAGAATGTTGTGAGTCTTTTGCAGGCGTCGCAGGATCCATTTGTTTGTCATATTTGGAAGGACGCCGAAATTGTTGGAATGGCTCAGCAAGCGTTGACCGACACGCAATTTGGCGCCAGGACAAGAAAGGGAATGTTCAGAACTGTCTCGCAACTTTATAAGGAGCAATTGACTAAATTGATGGCAACTTTACGCAATACTAATCCAAATTTCGTTAGGTGCATTATTCCGAATCATGAGAAGAGAGCTGGTAAAATCGACGCGCCTCTGGTTCTCGATCAATTGAGATGCAATGGAGTTCTCGAAGGAATACGTATTTGCCGACAGGGATTTCCCAATAGAATTCCATTCCAAGAATTTAGGCAGCGATACGAACTTTTGACTCCGAATGTGATTCCGAAAGGTTTTATGGATGGGAAGAAAGCCTGTGAAAAGATGGTATGTATTCGATTTTTTCATTCAGGATCCTGTCTATTTTTCTCTTGTTCTAAATTTTTTCATTTATTTTACAGATTCAAGCATTGGAACTTGATCCAAATTTGTATCGTGTGGGTCAGTCGAAGATATTTTTCCGTGCTGGTGTCTTGGCTCATTTGGAAGAAGAAAGAGATTATAAAATCACGGATCTCATTGTGAATTTCCAGGCGTTCTGTCGTGGCTTCCTGGCGAGACGTAATTATCAAAAACGTCTGCAACAATTAAATGCGATACGTATTATTCAACGGAATTGTTCAGCATATCTGAAACTAAGAAACTGGCAATGGTGGCGTTTGTACACGAAAGTGAAACCCCTGTTGGAGGTGACGAAACAAGAGGAGAAGTTGACACTCAAAGAAGATGAATTGAAGCAAGTAAGGGAAAAATTGGAAATGACAGTCCATGATGCCAAGGAGTATGAGAGAAAATATCAACTTGTTATCGAGGAGAAAATGATGTTAGCCGAGCAATTACAAGCCGAAGTTGAACTTTGCGCTGAAGCTGAAGAAATGCGGGCGAGATTAGCGGCTAGAAAGCAAGAATTAGAGGAGATTCTTCACGATCTTGAGGCACGAATCGAAGAAGAAGAGGAGAGAAGTTCGGCCTTGATTCAAGAGAAAAAGAAGTTGCAACTCAATATCAGCGATTTGGAGGAACAACTAGAGGAGGAGGAAGCTGCCAGACAGAAATTGCAATTGGAGAAAGTTCAGTGTGACGCTAAAATTAAGAAAATGGACGAAGACATTGCCCTTTCGGATGATACGAATCAAAAACTTTTGAAGGAAAAGAAACTTTTGGAAGAAAGAGCGAATGATTTGTCACAAGCACTGGCCGAGGAAGAGGAGAAAGCGAAACACTTGGCGAAATTGAAGACCAAACACGAGGCCACAATTGCCGATTTGGAGGAACGTCTCCTGAAGGACCATCAACAACGTCAAGAAGTTGACAGATCGAAGAGAAAAATGGAAACTGAAGTCTCTGACCTAAAAGAGCAAATATCGGAGAGAAAATTGCAGGTCGAAGAATTGCAACTACAACTCGGTAAACGAGAAGAGGAACTCACGCAAGTTATGACGAAAATTGACGAAGAAAGTGCAGCGAAAGCTCAAGCTCAAAAGGCCCTCAGAGAACTGGAATCCCAATTGGCAGAACTCCAGGAAGATCTTGAAGCGGAGAAGATAGCGAGAAGCAAAGCCGAGAAATTGAAACGTGATCTGAATGAAGAATTAGAGGCACTGAAGAATGAGTTGCTCGATTCACTGGATGTCACAGCGGCTCAACAGGAACTGAGAACTAAACGAGAACAGGAATTGGCAACTCTGAAGAAGAATCTAGAAGAAGAGACATCATCTCACGAAGCTATGATGGCGGACACGCGTCATAAACACACTCAAGAATTGACCGTTCTCAATGAACAGATGGACTCCCTGAAAAAGGTGAAGGCAACTCTAGAGAAGGCAAAGGGAACCCTAGAGGCCGAGAACGCGGACATGGCCACCGAATTAAGATCCGTGAGTGCCAATCGACAAGAGTGCGATCGAAGACGCAAGCAAGCTGAACAGCAATTAGTCGAGGTGAACGGAAAGCTCGCCGAAATTGAAAGAGTAAAACAAGAACTAGCCGAGAAGGTTGTGAAACTACAACAGGAGGCCGAAAGTGTTTCTCAACAACTAGAAGCCGCTGAACTGAAAGCCTCAGCTGCTGTTAAAGCTTCCACCACCTGTGAATCGCAATTCACGGAACTCCAACAGCAACTCGAGGAAGAGACACGGCAAAAACTCGCATTGAGCTCAAAGTTAAGAGCCCTCGAAAGCGAGAAGGAGACCCTTCACGATCAACTCGAAGAAGAAGAGGAAGCGAAACGAACCCTCGAGAAGCAAGTTCTGAATCTGAATATTCAACTCGCCGAGGCTAAGAAGCGAGCCGATGAAGAATCCGAAGCCGCAACCGCTCTCGAAGAAGCCAGAAAACGATGTTTGAAGGACATCGAAACTCTACAACGACAAGTGGAGGAACTTCAAGCTGCCAATGACAAACTCGACAAATCAAAGAAGAAAATTCAAGCCGAACTCGAAGACAGTACGATCGAGTTGGAAGTCCAAAGGGGAAAAGTCATCGAACTGGAAAAGAAGCAAAAGAACTTCGACAAAGTGTTAGCCGAGGAGAAGGCAATCGCAGTACAATATCTCGAACAGAAGGACAATGCCGAACGTGAGTCCAGGGAGAAGGAGACTAGAGCTCTGTCCCTAACCCGCGAACTCGACGAATTACACGAGAAAGTCGAAGAATTGGAAAGATGCAAAAAAGTCCTCCAAGGCGAATTGGACGAATTGGCGAATAATCAAGGAACGGCCGACAAAAATGTCCACGAACTCGAAAAGGCGAAACGAGCTCTTGAATCCCAACTGGCCGAACAGAAAACTCAGGTCGAGGAACTGGAGGATGAACTACAAATCACTGAAGACGCGAAATTACGACTCGAGGTCAACATGCAAGCACTCAGAGCTCAACTAGAAAGAGAGGTCCAAGCGAAGGAGGAGCAAGCCGAAGAGAAGCGTCGAGGTCTAGTGAAACAACTGCGCGATCTCGAAGCCGAATTAGAAGACGAACGAAAGCAACGCGCCGCCGCTATTGCCCAGCGAAAGAAAATGGAAGCCGACTACAAGGACATTGAACAACAACTCGAAATGCACAACAAAGTGAAAGAAGACGCTCTCAAGCAACTCAAGAAACTCCAAGTGCAAATCAAGGACTGCACAAGAGAAACCGAAGAAGCCAGAGCAGCTCGCGACGAACTTGCCGCAGCCTCAAAGGAAGCAGAACGCAAAGTCAAGAGTCTAGAAGCCGAACTCCTTCAGTCCAACGAAGATCTCACCAGCAGTGAACGTGCAAGAAGAGCCGCCGAAAACGAACGCGACGAACTGCAAGAAGAACTCAACAACAACGTCAACAAGGGAACATTGATGCTCGACGAGAAACGTCGATTAGACGCAAGAATAGCAACACTCGAGGAAGAATTAGAAGAGGAACAATCGAATAGCGAAATTCTGATCGATCGAGCCCGAAAGGGACAGATCAGTATTGAACAATTGTCCACCGATCTGGCGACAGAACGTTCGGCAACGCAGAAACTCGAATCGCAGAGGATGTTACTCGAGCGTCAGAATAAGGAATTGAAGGCTAAACTCGCTGAACTTGAGACTGCACAGCGCGCTAAGACAAAGGCAACAATTCAGGCTCTCGAATCGAAGATCAACAATTTGGATGAACAACTCGAGACTGAGGCTAAGGAGAGATTCGCTCAACAGAAAATCAATCGGAAATTGGACAAGAAATTGAAGGAATTGAGTTTACAGTTGGAGGACGAGAGACGCAATGCCGATCAGTATAAGGAGCAAATGGAGAAAGTTAATACGAGAATGAAGAGTCTCAAGAGACAATTGGACGAGGCTGAGGAGGAGATCAGTAGGCACAAGGCTCTTAAGCGAAAAGCTCAGAGAGAAATGGACGATATGATTGAATCGCAGGAAGTTTTGACACGTGAAGTTACTAATTTGAAGAATAAACTCAGGTAAATTTTCTTATCAACTTATAATTTTTTTACTTTAAGAATTTTTTAATTCTAAGAATTCTTTAATCAGAAGTTTTTCATAATTGACGCTTTTTTAATAATTTATTTGAGATCTCATTTATTTTAAGGATTAGCATCAAACTAGAAAGTGATTTTTAACATCGAACTAAAGTACTTGGAAAATTAGTTGGAAGTAAATTAATTTCAGTAAAATTGAAAAAAAAAATCGGTTGAATACTCTTTAAAGGAAATTATTTTGGTTGAAAATTTGTTTTGATAATGATAATTATTTAATTATTTCTGTTTTATTCCTGGTTAATGAACAATTGGAATTTTTATTCAATTTTTACAAGTAAGAGCTGATTTTGTTCTTTGAAACATTTTCTACAATTATGTTTTCATTTTCTTATTTCTTAATGGCTTTTGAACTATTTGTACATAAAATTAAAAATACAGAATTATAAAGAATGTTTCAAAAAGAAAAAAAAGTTCCCTTTTTGTAAAAATTAAATCAAAATAGAATTTTTTTTACTAACTTGAAGCAAATTTCAAATTTTTTTATTTTAAAATATCAACTTCAATATTTGAATGATATCAAATTAAAAATTAAAAAAAAATTCTCTTATTAACTGATTAATTATTAGTATCATTAGTATTCAATATTTTCTAAAATTTAAATAAAATTCTTTGAAACAATTTAAATATTTTAAATAATTTTAGTAAAATTCCTCGCAAGTTATTCAATTACTTTAATAAGTAATAAAATTCTGCTCAAGAATTAAATTTTTTTAATAAAAAATAAAATTTTTCGATGGAATTTAATTATTTTTAATACAAGTTTAATAAATTCTTTTAATATAAATTCAATTATTTTTAAAGATTGATATAAAATTCTTTTTAAAAATTCAATTACATTCAATATAATTTAAAAAAAATTTCTTCATAGAATTCAATTATTTTTATCAATTTTCATGAAATTCGTTGCAGAAATTAAATTATTTACTAAAATTTTGATGAAATTCTTTATTAAAATTTAATTATCATGCCATTTTTAGTCCAATTTTAATAAAACTCGAAAGATTTCAATTCTTTTTAAAACTTTTAATAATAATTTTCACAGAAATTCGATTAATTTGAAAGTTTTTAATAAAATTATTCGTAAAAATCCAATTATTTTCATAAATAATAAAATTCTTCTCAAAAATATAATTATTTTCATAAATAATAAATTTTTGGCAGCAATTCAATTATTTTCCTAAAAAACCAAATTCTTGATATTAATTCAATTATTTACCAAAATTTTGATGAAATTCTTCATTAAAATTCAATTATTTTCGTAAATAATAAAATTCTTGCCAGCAATTAAATTATTTACCAAAATTTTGATGAAATTCTTCATTAAAATTCAATTATTTTCGTAAAAAATAAAATTCTTGACATTAATTCAATTATTTGTTAAAATTTTATGTAATTCTTTATTAAAATTGAATTATTTTCATAAATAATAAAATTTTTGTCAGCAATTTTCATATTTTCATAAATAATAAAGTGCTTCGCATGAATTCAATTATTTTCATTACAAATTTTAATTAAATTTCTTTAACAAATTCAATTATTTTCAAAAATTGTAATAAAATTCATGTCAATTTTAAGGTGTTAAAAACTACATTCAAGTTTTAAATTACATCAATGTCTATTTTTTCATTTTTCTTCCTTTTTTAAATTTTATTACTCAATTTTTTTTTACTTTTATTGTTCTTTTTTTGCAAAAAATATTATCTTATTGAAGTAATTATTATTTCATCTAATGTATGTTAATTATTAGGAAAATAGTAAATTTTACTGAAACATTTTTTTTTAATTATAACGAGTTTATTTTTTTCGAAGTTGATGTATTTATTATTTTTTTTTTTAATTGGATACAATGAATGTGAATGCGCAGTGAAGTAGATCAAAAGACACAAAAGACGCATAGCAGATCGTTGGGTTCCTACCGTGGTTATTGGAAGGATGAAATTATAAACTCTTTTAACGTGTAGGTATTAAATTGTCATGGAAAACCCACACAATAGAATGTTTGCCTGAAAATTATTTTCCTAAATAGCATTGCATTTGTGAACCCTTTTTATTAATTCCTTTTTATCTTTAATCGAATTTGATTTGTTTAAGGTAGTTTACTAACGATTATTATTCAAAATCACAGTTTTTCCAAGGATATCAAATTGAGACGAAAAACGAATCAAAAGTGTTGCGAGGCAACACTTTTGATTCGTTTTTTGTCTCAATTTAATATCCTTAGAAAAACTGGGGTAGTAAAAATTATTTCTATAGATTAAAAATTGAAAAATTAAATTCCTGAATTAAAATTGAAAGAAATTTTTTATTTTTGTATTTATTATTTTACTTTTCTATATATAATTATTTTTGTTATTTTTATTTTTTATATATCTGAATTGTAAAATCTGTCCGGGTAGAGTAAATAATATTTTTTATACAGTAAATCGATAGTAAATCACTTTAGAAAAAATCGAAAAAATTTCCTATTTGATTAGTAATTATTCGTTTCGTTTTGTCATAAATTTCCTTAATAATTCGTACAGAAAATATCAACTAATCGAAACACGAATCCAGGAGAGAGAAAAAAAGTCATGTCTTTGTGTTCACCTGCATCTAATTTGTTTCTCCAATTAACCAAATTGACAATACCACTAGAAATCATTAAAAAAAAAAATTGTAATGTTTTATTTGTTTTCATTTGTTTTTTTTCTTGTCTCTTATTTTAAGCAAAATTATTAATCGAATTATTAATTAATTATTCTATTTTTCCCCCCCTAAAAAAAAGGCGTGGAGGACCACCAATCAGTTTGAGTTCATCAAGATTGAAACGTGGCTCAATGCAAACCGGTGGCTCGGGTGACGATTCAACAACGCAAGATGAAAGCATTGATGGCGAGGAAAATGCCAATTGAAAAACCAGACGTCTTCCGCTGCGGTTAAATCTGCGGCCAAAAAAACCTTTTTGAAAAACACACGGCATAATAAATTCGTCCAACGAATTTTCAAGAGTCTGGGGTCTCTTCTCTCTCCATAAGTTAACATTTATATAATGTATAGAAATAAGCGTGAGTCATTAGATTGATTAATCACTCTCGGTGACCAATTTTACAAAACAAAAAAACAAAAAAAAAAGTAATGCATATTTTGCGTGATAATTGGTCCCAAAAAAAATCATTTTTGAATTGCCGGTGCGATTTTGTTGGCAATGGGACAAAAAAGAAAAAAACAACGTCACGTCGCATGCAGGTGATAGGAATAAATTTTTTCTTTTTTTTTTATTATAGTAGTATTATTATACGATTTTTCCGTGAGATGCCATCAAACGAAGAAAGAAAAAAAAACAGAGTTTAATGAAAATGTACATAACTTTACAGCTTACTAACTGACCGTGGAGCGGTTTTATTACTGGCATGACTGTAATCATAAAACGAATCGGGAGTTTTAGGTAATGAGAAGTAATCGTGGGATAGAAAAAAGAAAACGGCAGATTTTGCTGCATAATTGAAATAACTGAATAACACTTTTAGGTAGTATTAAGACATTAATTATTATTGATACGTTATTATTATATTATTATTATTATTATTATTATTATTATATTATTATTATTATATTATTATTATTATTATATTATTATTATTATTTTATAACTATTATTACGATCAGCATCCTCCCACAAGTACTACAAGTAATTATTAATGTATTTTAATAATTAACTAATATTAATGTAAGAATCATCAAAAGTGAGAAGATAATGAAACAGAGCTGCCTCAAAGAGTGCAAGTTGGTTTCATTTTAAAAGGTTTAAAATCGACTCTTCTTCCTTTTTCTCAGTATTTTTTTAGCATTTTTTTTTGTTTTGAAATGAAAAAAAATCTGTCTTCTTTTGATTATATAGAAAAAAAATGCTTAGATTATTTTATTGCATTTATACAATTTTCTTTTCTTTTTTTTGGCATTATACATAATGTATACATGTATATAATGTATATAATATAAATTATATATTATATATGTTATATGTACTCAATTTTAGTCGTTAAGATTTTTTTTTCTTTCCATTCCTCCGTCTTTGGCACCGCGTGTTTCGAGAAAACGAATAATGTTACTTAAAAAAAAACCTGACTTTTCCTCGTATTGTACTTAAGCTCTTGATATAGTTTGTCAACACTTAACCTTTTGAAATGAAATGAATGAATGTGTCTTGCAGGCTCAAAAGTGATAGATATCGAGAATTTTCAATTTAAAAAAAAATGTACGAGAAAAATAATGAAACAAGTTCGATTTACTCAAAACTCAAGAAAAATTACGAAGATGCTAAGATCGTAGAGGAAAGAAAAAAAAAGTTTTTGTAAACTACCGATGAATTTTGAAAAAATGATGTAAAGACGGAATTTTATACCTGCATTTTTATAGGCATTTTATAAAATTCTTTTGTATTTCGAAAGTTTTTACAAGGTGTCACACCCGCAATGGCTAGTATATTTTTTGATGCAAGTAGCTACAAGCGAGAACACAAAATATTACAGAATTCAAAATTATACATATATTTATATTAAAATTTTCTTATAAAAATTTTTTTTTCTCAATGAAAAAATAGAGCCTTCGCTGTAACTCCAAGCTTCTTCAGAGTTCTAGGCAAAACTTTTTTTCTCAAAGAAACGGCAAATAATTATTATAAAAAAAAATACTGTTCTGTGAAACAGTGGATCTAGAACTTTTTCAGTATTTTTTTGATATCAAAAAAAGGAACTATCAGTGTGCATGCTCCTGGCGAAGAAATCCATCGATACGAATTAAAATGCTACTTCATTTTTAATCAAACTGATTTACAATTCTTCGATTAAAATTATTAATGTGTAATTATAACACAATTCGTCTGATTAGAATTATTAATACATTATTTGTATAATTATTATTTAAACGAAAGAATTGATTTTTAAATTGAATGAACTTGTGACAATCTTTCGCCAGGGTTTAGATCCAATAATTCGCAATCAGTACCATAAATATGTAAATACTTGACTGAATGTATTCGGGGTACTCACTTCTTAATATTGTACGCTTTGAATTTTCAAAAAAAAAAAAAAAATCAAAAAATCAATCTCTTACACCGCAATCGCCTTAATTTTTTTTTTATATAATATATACCGCTTGAAATCAAAATGAAAGGAAGTGGGCACTCCCAAGATCTGCGGGCAAGTGAGGGAGAAATGGACAGCGATTTAAGAAAAAAAAAATTACGAAATAAATTGAAAGAAGCGATGGCGTTTTTGATACATTTTATATATGGATTGAACATAAAGGGGTTGATTGCATCTTAAGTATACAAGAGAAAATATAATAAATGCTGAATACTGAAATTCTTAGAAAATTCTTTTATTTCTCAATAAATTTCTATCTTTTTTTTCTTTTGAAAGAAAAAAGTTCCAAACATTTTTTTTTGAAGATTTGGGTCGAAAATACAAATAGTGGATTTGATATGAAAATTGATGAAAATGAAGGTAATTGTTTATTTTTGAATAAATATTTATGTTTTGATTTTATTTTGTAGACTCGGACTTTTTTTGTATTTCTTTCAGTTGACGGACCAAGCCGAGAGAAGCGAGATCCAGAGGAGTTTTTTTCTCTTTATTCTCGGAGAAGACGTCGGCACCGTGAGCGACGAGTAATTTTGCTTCTTCTTGGCGATCTTCCTCGCAAGCCAAATGTAACGCAGTGTTTCCGTAAATGTCCTTCGCATCTAGAATTATTCAATTATATTTTTTATTATCTATCGAGAAATATTTATTTGGATCAGAAGGTAAAATTTTACTTAAATTCAGAATTATTTTAATTAAAATATACTTTGCAGGGAAAATAAAAAATTTATTATATTTTTAATTTTAATTTTCAATTTGATTTGAATTTTAAATCTGAATTTTTCTTAATTAAATTTTAATTTGAAATTTGAATTAAATTTTTTAATTTAAAATTTGAATCTGAATTTGTTTTTTTAAATTAAATTTTCAATTTGAATTTAATTTTTAAATTTAAATTTGGTTTTGGTTTTTTAATTAAATTTGGGTTTTCTATTAGAATTTTATATTTAAATTTGAATCTGAATTTGTTATTTAATTGAACTTTCAATTTGAGTTTGATTCTGAATTTGTTTTTTTAAATTAAATTTTCAATTTGAATTTGATTATGAATTTATTTTTGTAAATTGAATTTGATTTTGAAATTGAATCTGAATTTGTTTTTTTTAATGAATTTGACTTTTCAATTTAAATTTGATTCTGAATTTCTTTTTCAATTTGATTTTGATTTTTAAATTAGAATTTGATTATGAATTTGTTTTTTTAAATTGAATTTTAATTTTTTAATGTGGATTTTGAATTTATATCGAAATTTGTTTTTTTAATTGAATTTTCAATTTAAATTTGATTCTGAATTTGTTTTTTTAATTCAATTTTTAATTTGCATTTGATTTTCAAATTAGAATTTGATTATGAATTTGTTTTTTTAAATTAAATTTTCAATTTGAATTTGATTTTTAAATTTGAATTTAAATCTGAATTTGTTTTTTTTAATTAAATTTTCAATTTGAATTTGATTTTTAAAGTTAAATTTGAATCTGAATTAGTTTTTTTTTTATTTAATTATCAATTTAGGTTTAATTTTTTAATGTGAATTTGAATTTGTATCGGAATTTGTTTTTTTAATTGAATTTGAATTTTATTCTGAATTTCTTTTATTAAATTGAATTTTCAATTTGAATTTTAATCTGAATTAATTTTTTTAATTGAATTTGACTTTTCAATTTGATTTTGATTTTTAAATTAGAATTTGATTCTCAATTTATTCTTTTAAATTGAATTTTCAATTCGAATTTGATTTTTAAATTCAAATGTGTATCTGAATTGTTTTTTTTTAATTTTCAATTTAGGTTTAATTTTTTAATTTGGATTTTGAATTTGTATCGGAATTTGTTTTTTTAATTGAATTTGAATTTTATTCTGAATTTGTTTTTTTTAATTAAATTTGATTTTCAATTTGTTTTTTTAAATTGAATTTGATTTTGAAATTTTAATTTAAATCTGAATTTGTTTTTTAAATTGAATTTCAATTTGCAATTTGAATTTGAATTTGAATTTGAATTTGAAATTTGAATCTGAATTTGATTTTTTAAATTTTCAATTTGAATTTGATTTTTAAATTTAAATTTGAATCTGAATTTGATTTTTTAATTGAATTTTAATTTTCAATTTGAATTTAATTTTTTAATGTGAATTTTGAATTTGTATCGGAATTTGTATTTTTAATTGAATTTAAATTTTAAATTTGCATTTGATTTTAAAATTTAAATTTTAATCTGAATTTGTTTCTTTAACTATGTAAAGTTGAATTTAATTCTTTTAATTTGAATTTGAATCTGAATTTGCTTTTTTAATTGATTTGAAATTGATTTTAAAATTCAAACTGTGAATTTGATGTTTTAATTGAATTCGAATTTTAAATTGAATTTTGAATTTCGTTTATAGTGAAAATTCGTGAAACAGGAACTCACTTATTTTCAGATCTTTTTCGTGTTCGAGAAGATGTTTTACGACGTTTATATTCCCCTTGGATGCGGCTCTATGCAGGGGTGTGGCTCCTCTGACATCGGTGATATTGATATTTGCCCCATTTTCAAGGAGGGTTTCACAAATTTCAACCCAATTTTTCGAAGCAGCATATTGTAGGGACGAATGTCCTTCTTGCGTTTTTGCATTCGCATTAGCACCTTCTTTTAACAAAATTTTCACGACACTTTTACGACCTCCGGAAGATGCGAGAATTAGAGGCGTCATTCCCATCTGAAACATTCAATTTCAAAGTAATTTATTTATTTATAACATTAATTTTTTTATTCAGGGCTGAATTAACGACAAGATAAATTATTAATCTAATATAATTTTCATAATTATATTTTATTAATTTCCTCCTTTATTATTAATATTCTATTTATTTCCTTTTTTATTATTTATGTTCTATTTATTTCCTTTTTTATTATTTATATTTTTACTTATTTTAATTTATTTTCTTTTCTTTAAATATGTAGTTATTTCCAGGTTATTTCGAACGAAGAAGGGATTTGAATTTCCCACTCAAAATGAATGAAAGAATTTGCGAATCAAAGATGGCGGCCCCCTTGAAAGCATTGTCATTTGTCATGTCATGACAGGAAAGTGCAATTTAGTGCACAACTTTAATAATTAGTGGATTAATTGAAAAACTCACATCGTCTTCTGGATCAACTGGAAATCCAATGGAGAGCAAATAAATAACAAGATCTTCATGTCCTCCTAATGAAGCCCAATGAATTAGCATTCGTTTATTCTGCACAGAAAAAGGTAACATAACCAAAAAATTCGGAAGCAAAGGAGTTAAAAAGAATATTTACCTCGTCAGTTTCAGTTTTAAGATTCTGATTTTCATTTATTAGGATTTTTACAGCTGCAGTTTTTCCACGATAGGCTAAATCATAAACAGACGGTTCCTTTTGCGGTGGCATTTTCCTTTTTTATAAACTTTTCTTGTGTGTTTTCACCGTGTAATTTCGAATAATAACAATTGACAGTGCAAGGAAAGGAAGATTTTCACTTTATTCGCATTCTTTTCAATCGATAATAGAAAAAGAATATATAATGATTTAAAAATTTTCTTTTTTAATTTTTAAATTGTTTATTTAACAATAAGAACAATAGACAGTAGGAAACTAAAAATGATTGAAAAAAGACCTTTTTTTCTCTCTCTAAATTTATAATATATAAAATAATGAATTTCAAATTTCTGAATAATTATAATCTCCTGAAAAATTAAATTTTATCTGAAAAATAATTGTAATATTTTTCTTAAATTTTAAACTTTTCTAAAGAAAATAATTTTTTCCCCCAAAATGTGGAATTCTTTTTGCCATTTACTTGGCACGTCACTTTCGGGAGCATCCTAGACACACGCGATTATGCAAATGACTATTTGAAAACTCGTTCTAGCGAAATCTTTTATATTCTATGATAAAATGGATTGCCGGATCAAAAGAAGCTGCCATCTCAACTGGAAGCCGACGGATTGGTTTAAGAAAATTTCAAGGATATAGATCCAAAAACCAAATAAATTATCTCGTAGAATATTTTTAAATCTTATTATAAGTAGTTTGAAAAAACAAAGCAATTTTGAATTTTTTTTTCATTTTTATAAGTAAAACTTTTCTCCATTTTAATTTCTATTCTGTGCAGAATTTTTGAATGTAAATTTAAATCGGAGAAAATAATTATAAGCTGAAAAAAAGGAAAGTAATTAATTAAAATAATGAATTAATTTATTAGATTAATTAATTAAATTAATTGATTAATTAGGTAATTAGTTTTCTTATTTATAAAATAATAAAAAATATATTAATTAATATTAATTAATTATTTTAATTAAAGAAAATGTAGTAATTTAATTTTTTAATAGAAACCTTTTCTCTTTTGTTTATTTTTGAAAATTGCTTTTTATATTCTTGGAATTATTGTAATTTTTTGCACTATAATATTGATGGATGAAAGTCGTAAGAAAGTAATTATCCAAGTAATCGAGTAAAATAATAAAATCCGCCCTTCACTGAAAATGTACGGAGTTATAAAAAATTAAGACCCGCAATTAAGATGAAATACAATTTCGCTTCAAAGTATGAATTCTTATTGTTGAATCTAAAATTAATACTTTAAAAGTCTAGTCTACTTTTTTTTATAAGGAAAGAAATAGATTTACTTTTCTGGAAAAAGTACTTGTTCAATAATTTACGTTTTTGTGAATTTTTTATAATTATTGCTTCCCTACACAGTGTCTTTTGAATTTTTAATTTACAACTTGGATTGGGGAAATTTAATGCTAATTGTATTATTGTTAGGTAAATTTTTAAATAGTCACTTAAGCTCTTTTTTATAGAGGGGAAAAATTATTTGATATAATATAAATATAAATTTTGTTTAAAATAGAAAATAAAAAGAAACAATTTTTTTTAATATAGGCAACTTCTGTATTAAAAAAAATTTTGTTAAAAATATTGTTATATTTTTAATAATTTTCACTTTAAACTTTGAATTATTTAGTAATAAATTAGTAGAAATTACTATTTATTAGTCAAGTTTACTAATTGAAAAACAAAAAGTCATTCACTAATTCAAATTTGTAAACATTTTTAATAATTCAATTTTAGAGAGTTTATAATTTTGAATCTTAATTATTGCATAAAATTTCATTTAAATTATTAAAAAGAATTGAATTGTTTCGAAAACTTTTATTGAGATTTTTAAAAATAATTGAATTCTAATAAAAAAATGTAACGAAATTTTTTAAAATAATTGAATTTTTGAAAAAAAGTTTATAATTTATGAAACTAATTGAATTCTTGCAAAGAAATTTATTAAAATATTTGAAAATAATTCAATTCTTTACAGAAATTTATTGAAATTGTGTTGAAAGTACTTAAATTATTATAAAAAATTTCATCAACATTTTTGAAAATAATTGGATTTTTTAGGAAGAACTTCATTAAAATCATTCAAAAAAATTTAATCCCTGTGTGGAACTTTATTAAATTTTTTTTAAATAATTGAATTCCTGGCAAGAATTGTATTATTTATGAAAATTGAATTGTTTCAAAAAATTTTATTATTTATTAAAATAATTGAATTCTTGAGAAGAATTTGATTATTTTTGAAAATTATTGAATTTTTCAAGAAGAATTTCACCAAAATCTTTAAAATAATTGAATTTCTGACAAAAATCTTATTATTTATGAAAATTGAATTCTTTCGAAAACTTTTATTATTTATGAAAAAAATTGAATTCTTGAGAAGAATTTTATTATTTTTTAAAATAATTGAATTTTTCAAGACGAATTTTATAAAAATCTTTAAAATAATTGAATTTGTGACAAAAATTTTATTATTTATAAAAATTGAATTGTTTCGAAAAATTTTATTATTTATGAAAATAATTGAATTTTTCAAGAAGAATTTCACCAAAATCTTTAAAATAATTAAATTTCTTACAAAAATAACTGAAAATAACTGAATTCTTGAAAATAATTTTATTTTTCAAGAAAAATTTCATCGAAATCTTTCAAAATAATTAAATTTGTGTGAAGAATTTTATTACTAGTTTTAATAATAATTAAATTTTTAAAAAGAATTTTATTTTAAGTTTTGAATATAAGTAAATTTATTCAAAGAATTTTATTAAATTTTTTCAAAGTAATTGAATTCTTTCGAGAATTTTTTATTGAAATTGTATTAAAAATAATTGAATTTCTGACAAGAATTATTATCATATATGAAAATAATTGAATTTTTACGAAGAATTTAATTAAAATATTTTAAAATAATTGAATTTCTGTAATAAATTTGTAAAAAGAATTGAATTCTTTCGAATTTGATTAAAATTGCACTGAAAATCTGAAAATAATTGAATTTTAATAAAGAATTTCATAAAAATTTTAGTAAATAATTAAATTTCTGCTGGAAATTTAATGAAAATGTTTAAAAATTAATTGAATTGTAGATATTTTAATTTTATTTTATTCTAATTAATTTTTTTTAACTCAAATAAAATGTAAGGATAAAATATATAAGGGTAAATAATAATAATTATAATAATTAATAATTAACAATTTATAATTATATTTATATAAGGATAAAATAAATTTTGAATCATGATCTCGAGAATTGGAAATTGCTTTTGGAAAATTGTTTTTTACAGATCAATTTCCCCTCAAAGTGTGCTGTTGTAAATATAACGAGTTTCAACGAGATAGTAGGATTTGTTTACGACACAAGACGCCAAGTGGAAGAATAGCTGGAAAAGTTTTTCGTTTCCATCCACGTACATCTCGCTGTCGAACTCTCTCACTCCACCCAGTGACAAGCATTGTTGACTCCCGAGAATGCCAAATGGAATTATTGTTATTTTTACGAGGACAACTTTTCTGTCACGACTAAGCAGAAATCTATATCGGCCCTGGTTAAAAGATGAAGCGTTAAAGTTCTCAGGCGAAGAAGATGCCTTCTTATCTGTCTTCTTTTCCCTTTCACATTTTTCCTAAATTCAACACTCTCCCCCAAGCCTCTGCTACTCTCTTCCTTTATTCTTCCTCCTTCTCATGACGGCTAAAAAGTTCAAAAACGCCCTCACAGACTACAAAGAAGTACCATTAAAACTTGATTTAGTAGTTGTGCTTCAAGAAACTCTTTTTGTTTATTGTTGGCGAAAAAAATTTTTTTTAAATTGAATTTTGGTTTTTATTTGGAAAAGTATTAATTTCTACTTAACTGAGTTTTTTTCTTTACGAGATATTGAATCGGTTTATTTTTATTAAATTTCTATTGGGGGGAATTTTTATCTGAATTTGTCTTCAGTAAAATTTTCAAAAGACGGAGATATTTAGCAGAAATTTTCATTCAATCGAAATCATTTTAAATGAAATTTTTATTTAGAAATATATTTAGAAAATTATTTAGAAAATAATTTAGAAAGTAATTTGGAAAATTACTTGAAAAATTATTTAGAAACAATTTAGAAAGTAATTTAGAAAATAACTTGAAAAATTATTTAGAAAATTATTTGGAAAATTATTTAGAAAATTATTTAGAAAATTACTTAGAAAATTTTTACTTGACCGAATATTCCATTTGAATAAACATTTTGTTTAAGGAAAATGCGTTCAAAAAATTTTCATTTTATGAAAATTCGTACCAAAGAAAATTTTATTTTATGAAAATTGTTCAAATAAAAATTATGTTAATTGAAAATTAGCAAATTGGAAATTCGTTCAATAACAAATTCTATTTTGTCAAAATTGTTGACATAAAAATTATTTTCGATGAAAATTTGTTCAAAGAAAAATTCTCTCTAACGAAAATTGTGTTTAATTGAAATTATCTTGAAATGCAAATCCAGTTTTATGAATATTTTTACTAATAAAAATTCTGTTTATTAATAATTCAGTTAATTGAAAATAAATTCTGTTTAATTATAATTCGATTTAGTAACAAATTCCCTTTAATAAACATTCTGTTTAGTAAAAATTCAGTTTAATAAAAATTCAGTTAATTAAAAATTAAGTTTAATAAAAAATCCGTTAAGTAAAAATTTAGTTAATAATAATTCAGTTAAATAAAAACCCAATTAAGTAAAAACTAAAAACTCAACCAAGTAAAAATTCTTCTAAGTAAAAGCACTTTCCGTATCTGTATCTCGAAATAATAAATATTTCAATGTTCCGCATAAAATATTGCAGTTCTTTTTCAATAATAATTAATTTCTTTTGAAAAAATGTGGGTCGTTTTTTTTAATCTTCCGCATTTACAGAGTATGTATGTAAGAGGAAATGTGTTCGAGTGAAGAATAAATTTACGACTTAGATTTTATTCTCTTTCTCAATTTTGTGTCTCTCAACCTCAAGACTAACTTTCTCATCCCTCGTGCTTAGAGATTCTGTCTTGTGAAGTTTAAGAAGGAAAGTTCGAGTAAGGGTTAAACAGTCTATACAGACATGCACTTTGCACACGAACATGTGAGATAAGTACACTCTTCTCGCAATCGGTACTCC